AACATGATCATCACTGCGGCAAGTGGGACAGCCTGATGGGCCATCCTCAGCATCTCGATAGTGGCGGTCATGATGATGGCTAGGGAGGTGATGATCCAGCATAGAAGTCCCGGACCGAAACTGAAAGCGGATCATCGCCGCTCGATGCCCATCAGTGTGACGCAGCAAATACTCCTTGAACCCTGTACCCTCAGTGACACTGTTGTACAATCCAAGCCTAGGCTTGGTGGAGAGGGCAGTTGCTACACATGCTTCATCCCTCTCCTGAACAGCATCAATCACAGAACGCGCAAAGAGAGATGTAGACAAAGACAATGACTCGCGTGTGAAAGACATCAAGGACAACCAGATCAGGTCACAAGTCTGTATGAACATCTTCCTCTTCCTACCCCTAGTCCCCCTGGGAACTTCCTGAAGGTACAAAACCTTCTCTAAACGAGTCTCTGGTAAACTGTGTAACCTATGCTGCCACTTCAGCTTCGCAATATCTCTGCGAGAGCTGAGTAAAGACAAGTGCAAGTCACCCCTAACTGCCTCTGATGCCGTCAAAGTGGGGCAACCTAATATGAGTCTTGCAGCTTTAAGCTGCACAGATTCTAAAGCTCTGGAGTGCACACTGGAAGGTACAAGCACCTCTGAAGCAAACTCTAGGCATGGACGCAAAGCAGTGAGCATGAGCAAGCGCTTAATGCGCATCGTAAGATGTGCATCTCTCAAAAGAGGCTTCATAGCAGCCACACGCGCATTACCCTGCTTGATAATCCTCTGAAAGTGAGCATCCTGAGAACCGTCCGAGGACACAAGTACTCCTAGGTGCGTATACTGTTCTACTACAGGAATCTCCTGATCTCCCCACATGAAAGGCTGTGTCCTATCCTCATCTGGCACCGGACCACACAACATAACTCCACACTTAGGGACATTAGCCCTATATCTGTACTGTCTAGCATGCTCATAAGAAGGGGCAATGACACTGTCTCTCAGACCCGCAGCGGAGAATGCAATACCAACTAAGTCATCTGCATAAGCTAAGGCAAGGATGCCAGCAAGAAGGGAAGCATGCATGTCTCTCCCAGAGTGAACCTTGTCTAAAAGCTCATTCTCGAAAATGGCATACAGAGTGGGCGACAAAGGATCCCCCTGAGCAACCCCTTGCTGAATGGGAAAGTACTCAGACTCATGGCCGTTCACGAGCACCCTGCTCTGTGTGTCGGCATAAAGGTTCCTAAGTACCCTCCAAAATTTACCTCTAATCCCCATATCCCACAACTTATAAAACAAGCCATCCCTCCACACTGTATCAAATGCCTTCGCAACATCCCTGAAAAATATGTACGTAGGCAACCCCTGTCTAATGCGACTCTGAATGATCAAATATGTGATCGACACAACCCCTGCCCCGGCGGAAACCGGCCTGACATGTATGAAGGCTACTGTGTGCATCAAGCCATGACATCAAACGTGTGTTCAATATCATGGTGTAGAATTTACCGCGACATCAAGCAGGGTGATGCCGCGGTAGTTGCCGGGATCTGCACGGTCTCCCTTCTTGAAAAGGTTGACAATGTCGCCAGCCCGCCAGTGCTGTGGTACACACTCAGTCTCCCACAACACAGAGACAAGGCAGTGGAACATGGAAGTAAATGCAGAGCCCCCGTGCTTAAGCAACTCGTTCACAAGGCCGTTACTAGTGCCGGCCTTGTGACAAGCGAGTTGCTTAAGTGCGCGGTCAATCTCAGCAACAGAAGGCACAACATCAAGAACATCATCAGCATGCTCTGGCTCAAGTGACAATGCAGCAAACTCCGCAACTCTAGCAGTGACATGGTGAAAGTGAGCCTCATCAAACTCCTGAGCATCACTCTGAACTGGGCAACCTAACTGGTGGTAGTGATCAGCAAAGACACGGGTGATGCCGGCATCAGAATGTGCAGTGTGGCCATCAGATGCGCGCGCCTTCGTGACATGATTCGCATTGCCAGGTGGGGCTTTGCCAGCGGTCCTCCAGCGAATAGAGGCCGAGAAGTCCTTGGCAAGCCCTTCCCGGAAGCGGTCAGAACACGTACGCATCTGCTCCTGCCATAGTTGCCTCTTCTGCTGACGTACATACTCCTTCACCCGAGTACGGGCTGCCTTCCATCTGGCACACAAGCCAGACCACAAAGCAGAACCAGAAAGCTGAGCTGTGCGCGCAACTGAATAAGCTGCGCGCCGCTGGTCAATCAAGGTACGCAACTCTGCAGACCACCATGGTACTGCTGGTCTACGGCCAACAGTACGCCTACCAAGAACTAACTCGGCACTCTGAGACAGAACACTCTCAAACTCTGACACAGCCAATCTAGTGACAAGAGCAGGGTCATCTGCATGAGCATGCTGGACATCCTGAAGCACACTCTGGAAAGCAGGCACGTGTGAACGTAACTCACGCAGGTACTCAACTCTAACAACCTCATCACGCAAACGACTAACTCTATACCGCAGTCTAGCAGGAGCAAACAACAGAACGGTGTGCTTTTGCTCGCATAGGGAGCAAACAGTGCACCAAAAAATGATCCGACACATCTGAGGTGGAAACATCTAGCACAGTCCCTATGGAAAGCGTGTCACTATCAACTAACATGTAATCGATGACAGACTGCTCCGAGCGAGACAACCTGCAACGCGTCCATGCAGGCTCCCTGGAAAACTTCCTGCCGTTCAGAGCATACATGTCTGAAGCATGCAAGAAGTTGACCAGGCGCTTACCATTCGCGTTGCAAGTTGTCTCACCGAACTGGCCGATAACGTCGAAGGATGCTGTCGCGGATCCGACCCGCGCGTTGAAGTCTCCAAGGACCATGACTCGGCCCTTCCCTTGGAAGCCTGCAACATCATCCAAAAGGAAATCATAATGTTTCTCTTCAATGGCAGCAGGCGAAGGAGGCATATACACACAGCCAATATACAGATCCCTCTGCCCCCTATGACCATGAACTCTCAACCAAGTACTCTCAGGGTGGGAACAATCGCACAAATCTCAATCTCAGGTATGAGTGCAAGCGTAACTAGAAACCCAACACCCCCTTTGGACCGACCCGTACGGGGACGCCCAAACCATCTAAAGCCGGGGACAGCAACAACAGAGGCAGCATGTTCATGTGACTCCTGCACCGCCACAATGTGCAGGCCTTTGTCACGTAACATGCTACCTATCTCGAGCTGTTTACGTTCACTGTTCAAACCTTCAACATTCCACGTGCCAATAGACAACTGCATGCAAGGACGAGTGTGAGGAGAGGGCCCAGGGCGCGGGGATGGAATGTCAAGCAGAGGCTGAAGAGGTTGGCGGACAAGTCTGGGATCTCTTGGCGGGCAGAAGTCTCCACTGTGATGAAGGACACAACGCCAACCATATGCTGTCCGCATGGCCTTCGAGGCCAGGACCACTCCATGCACAGCAATTAGCGCGGACACCTGCCGTGGTAGTGCAATGTGTACCGAGGTCTTCTTCCTGCGCATCTCACCAGACCCAAAGCCTGCCAGGCCAATGTCATTGAGGCACAGGCGAATCTGAACATAGTCCAGACTCTGCTGTACCCCAAACACAGTGACATGCACCCTGAAAGAATCTCCAAAAGCAGCATATCTGCCCCGAAGGTCACTCTCTGACAGTCTCAAGTCACAAAGTAAGTGTGGGTGCACAGAATACAAGAGTGTGTGGTCAGCGAGATCCCGTCTCGATGGCCCACTCGAGCTGGACCTGCTAGAAGCAGCTACCAACGGGCAAGAGCTGTGAGGACCACCGAGGTTTAAGGAAGACGCATCAGATCCACTCAGGCAACTGTGCAAAGCAGAGAAAATACGTCCATCATTAGGCCTATGGCCAGCACTGGAACGCGGGTGCACACCCTTCTTGTGCCGGGCTAGGTGCCGCCCCCTCAAATAGGCTATCGTCATCGTGTGTTTGGGTTGTGGGTGTGTCCACGGAAGTGGATCGACCGTGGATATCTCAAAACTACTCCTCCTGGGTCGGCTCCTGATGAAGACCCTACAGCGCTTCCAGGAACCAAACCCCTGATATCCTTTTGATGACGGTCGAAATAAATAACCTGCAGGGCACACATCACAGAGTGAAGAACCTGAGGGCTGACAGGTGCTGAGGATACTTTGCAAACAAGCAGGCACCATATGCAACAGGGGAAGACGTCACAATATTATGGAATGGACATAACATAGAACTGAGGCACAGCAGGGAAGGCTGACAAGTAATTCAGGGTGCCAGCAAACAGCAAGATGCCCAAACAGCCACAAAGCTTCCACTCCTCGTCCTTCGAACAGCACAAACACGGCTGCATCCTTTCGTACTCCTGCTTAACTCTCGTCAATAACAGGCCGTACTGTCTCTGAGAGTGTAGGCGAAGGACACAGGTTGGCCATTCACAGGTTTCGAAGTGGTGGACATTGTATCTAAATGGGGTCAAGCCAGAGTGGACACAGCGAAATACTAATGAAGCCAAAGAGAACACGATTAAAACTCACTCAACTCCCGTTGAGAAAATGCAGGCAGGGCAGGCAGAAGCTAACGGCTGATAAGACCGTTAGAGGGGAGGATCGCTGGGGGAGCTGTGTAAAGCCTTACCACAACCCCAGCTCGCACCTGACTGCCATACCTGATATTAACGACTTAAATTGAGTTATAGCAAGCGCAGAGAATGCTGACACCTAGCTCACTGCCAATCGCGAAACACAGTGTCTCTGCCATGCTGTCAACCACAACTCCAGCGCTCCCCCAATCCGGTGAAGTCCTTGCCTTCCATCTCTAATCTGTATATCACGACTGTATAGAATGTGCGTGTACCCGTGCGGAAACCTACTAGTAGTACATGTACATCATGATGGGTATCATGATGACTCAATATATATTCCAGGCATTTGTAGGGCTGAGATGTCGCATCATTTCCCATACATAAGTTCTTGAAGCGATTTGAAGCGATTTGAAGGAAAAAGAAAAGGACAGCTGCTTTCGTCGAGAGTTGAACTCGAGACCTCCCGCTTACTAAACGGGTGCTCTAACCAACTGAGCTACGAAAGCAGATCTACCATGACCTACCGCGCATTTCAGCACTATATATACTGCAGTTAAAGGCAGACTCCAGCCAAGAATCTAAGCCCATCTAATTACCGATGAATAGTCGCAGCAGATGGTGACGAGTGAAGCTTCAATTGCTATCCTGAGTGTGTGGGGGATAAAGTAATCGTTTCACATTCTGAAATACAGTACTTGCAAGGAGTGAAGTAAGTGAGTGTATACACGAAAAAACAGTAGTATGTCTGCACTGCCTTGTCGATAACCTGCATCCTTGCATCCATCGCTTAAATGAAACAATCGACATCCAGCGTTGCCATGACACAGGAATGGTCGAAGCAGGCAGCAGATTTGAATCAGGATGCCCAGCACCCCTGTCCTTTAAATAGCTCTGTTGGGCTCCAGAGTGTTTCGAATGAGTATTTAAAATGCACCTCAAATATTCTGCTCCAATTGATCGAAAGTCAAATCACATCCTGTCGGCAAGTGTGGGCAATCGCGATGCCTCCGACCGTGAGCGACATCGACAGCAAGAATAACAACGCAGTATATGCATGTACCTAGAGCTAGCATGTTCACGAAGCACTTCGAGACGGCTTCCTGCCGATTTTTAAAGAGCCTTGTGCGTGCGGGACCGTCCCGGCCACAGAGCTCTCGAGAAGCTTTACATAAACCTTCCGAAAGCAATGCTGCCAGTGCACAATCACCTCCTCAGCGCGCGCCTCGAATTGACAACTCTCACGAGATCTCGTTCTAATTGACCTGGTTTGATCGGGTTTTGTCTCCAAGCAACCGATAGGAGTGATGGCAGAGCGAACATATCAGGTCATCATCTGGGGAGGCACTGGTTTCGTTGGGAAGCTTGTTGCGGAACATATTGCTCGCGATTATGCGGTAGGTTGATGTTCCAAATATTTCCAACTTCATCAAAAGTATAAACCCCGTTGTGTAGCATTGGTCTGAGCCTGACACTTGTCACGATGTGGGGTGCATCGAGTGATTGGTCAGGACTCCAGGATGCCCCTAGGACCTTGCTATGAACTGCATTGACATCTCTCAGAGTAATAGCTTGAATGTTAGTCCCAATTGTGTCTTGGACCTCTTGCAGGGGAAGTTCACGTGGGCTATGGCCGCGCGCAACAAGGCCAAACTGGAAGGTGTCCGGAGTGAGCTTGTCAAGATCAACCAAAGTGTACAGGTAACCTTGGCAATTGATCCGTCAGCTCTGTGCACAGTAATGCCCAAGGCCATTGCGTCCTCGGCCGCAACCATTGCACATGTCCTGACCCGTACGCGTTGCTTGCAGAACATCCCTCTGCTCATTGCCGACACAAAGGATCAAGCAGCGGTGGACAATGTCGTCAAGCAGGCCAAGGTAGTCATCGCATGCGCTGGGCCGTATGCCCAGATTGGGACACCAGTTGTGGATGCATGCGTCCGGCTGGGCACGCACTATGTTGATATCACAGGTCTGGCATGCCCCTCATTAAAGAGCGCTGGCTCATCAGTTTCGGATCCTGGAGGTGATCAACATTCAAAGGACCCAACCGGGAAAAGCCAACTTCAAATGCCCCACCGGCTTTTACTGTTGTGCTGCTCAGCAGGCCACTGTTTTTGTGAAGAAATAATGCGCCGGCATTCCAGAACTAGGTCCCGAGTCTGATGCAGATGTCCCGACATTGTGCCCACTTCGGCCTGCATATTGTGTTGTAAAGAAATCAATAAGGCCACTAGTGGGGTTGCTCGGGGCAGTTTGCACACTGGGAGGGAAAAGAGGGGTTCATTAGCTCATCCCAGGATCTTCCACGCAGAGTGACCTGCAGACTGGCACGAGCCCTATGGGAGTTCCATGATGCACTGTAGGTGAGGTACCTTGGGTGGCACGCACCATCAAGAAGTACCACTCCCAGGCGGTGGCCAACAAGGTGAAGATTGTGCACATGTGCGGGTTCGACAGCATACCTTCAGACCTAGGCGCCTATCTTGTGGCCACCACCATCCAGAAGCAGCACCACAGGTTAGTCGGTACACAGCTCAAGAGTACCCAAGGCAGCGATTTGATCCTATATGCAGGGTTAACATTGTGGCTGCTTGCCTGTTCTTCAGCCTTTCCAGTCTGTGCTATGAGTAGCAGCTGCCCGCTTGTTTCCAGCCTCCCACTTTGGGAAGCAAGCAAGATTGGGTAGTGCTCTTCATGCAGGCAAGAATTTTGCAGTATCCGTTGCGTGAGGCGCCAATCATGTGGGCTCAGTATGCCTTGTCTAGATCAAGCTCATGTGTTGTGGAGTCGTTCTGATGACAACGGACTCAGTTGCTGTGCAATCTTTGTGGTGCAGGAAGACAGCACAGGTGCGGCTGCTGCAGGGCAAGGCAGCAGGGGCTGTGAGCGGCGGCACAATTGCTTCTCTCATGGGCGCCCTTTTCGAGGAGACCCGTGAGGAGATAAAGTTTGCTGCGGACCCTTACTGCCTGAACCCCCCAGAGGCCCACAGGTAGGGGTCCCATAGCTTGTAGCTTCCACTGCCTATTCTTTCAGTGTCTATTATGTCCAGTGGAAGTAAAGTATTACTCTGGGTGCAATGCAATGCAGTTTTATATGATGAACACAAGTATCCCTCCTTGTTGGCGCATGCATTGCCAGACATCATGCATGCGCACTGTAATAGCATGGGCGAGCCTATTTACTTATTCGCTGAAGGCACCGGTTTGCAGAATGCAGGGTTCATGATTCTTTGTAGAGATTAAGCGTTTGGGATTGAAGTCCCTGAATAATGAGTTTTCCAGCAACCCATCCTCTGACATTGAGACATTCCTATTTCTTCATCTCCTTCAGACTCTTGTACAGAGAAGGGGCAGAAAAGTATGCCGAACCAGTTCTGTTGAACCCTCATTGAAAAGGACTTGAGAGACTGTTTGCAGGGGGCCTGACAAGGGTGACTACTGGGGCCCGGCCTACGACAAGCTGATGCATGCATGGACCATGCCATTCGTGATGCAAGGAATCAACACTCGCGTGGTCCGCCGCAGCAATGCTCTCCTCGGCAATGCCTATGGTGCGCGGTCGTGCGCAGGGTGCGCGGCAGAACTATTTGGCCGCTGGCAGAACTCCTGGCAGAACATCTTTTCCCGTTTAATTACTCGAGCTGGGAAAGCCGGCAGCGGGCTTCCCCTGATGAGAGGTCACCGTGCATGAAAAAGAAGCGCCTGAGGACATAACAAGTGACAGAATACCGTTTAAATAGCTCTGCCGCGCACCCTGCTCGTGCGGCTTCATGGATCCCCTGTTGTGAACACAAGGGAACACATCTCTAGTCGGTGTTGTTCTGAGGCAGCCCGCTCTCTCTGTGGCGCTCGCACGCCCTTGAACTTTTCATCTGCATCTCTTCATCTTATGAGGAACTCCCTCTCGTACAGCCTCTGCGCTTTCTAAAAAATCCTGCAGTTTGAGGGGGCACTGTCCTGGTTTCACGAGTGGTTTGCATGCTCCTCAATCCCAGGTGCCTACCATCTCGACGACAATTGATCTTCCTGAACCGCTCAGTCCAAAAGGTCTGTGAAACTCGGAGCGCGCTTGGGTGATGGGGTTTGATTAACAGGGCGCTTGTCTGGAATGCGCAGGTGAGAACTTCTCATACACTGAGGCACAGGAGAGCCCCAATGCGGTGGTGGCTTATCTGGGCTCTTTTGCAATGGCCATCGGGTATGTCATCATCAGCCTGACATTCCTGCGCCCCTTAGTCATGCGCCTGCTGCCAAAACCCGGCGAGGGGCCCAGCAAGAAGCAGCAGGTGGAGGGCTTCTGGTGCGCCCCAATCCCCAGCTCCCAATGTTTCTGGCTTCGGGCTTTGGAATGTTAGTTTTACAGCACAAGCGGCAGTGTTTGTGTTGTTAGCATAAATGACGACATAAACACTGTCGTGGACTGGTAAACACTCTATGAGAAGTATCATAGAGTGTTTGCTACCATATGATACTTCTAGTTCACATTTTGTTAAATGACTGTCTAGGACTGGTGCAAGCCTCCTGCATCCCCAATGCCCTTTAACCTTTCTCCTCCTGGGCTTGGTCCAGGTGGTTGATATTTAGTACAAAACCTTGCCTTCCAGATCATTGTGTGTGCAAAGCATGCAGTCAGTTTCTCTTTGAATGTACGGATGTCATGCTGGGTGTCATTCTGGCGATCAGAGTCAGACTCTGATCAGCCCTAGGTGGCTGAATAAGGTGTAATTGACTGACTGACTCCCTCCTCAAAATCGAGAGAGCAGAGTAGTCAACTTCTGTGACAGTAGCTTCTCAGCACAAGACGGAGGTGTGCGTGTCACAGGAATGCACGGGTGATCGAAGTGTTAGAGGCAGGGCCAGCCTGCCATGCATCCATTGATTTTTTTTCAACATGTCTTCTCTGTGAGAGTAGCTTCTCGGGATATGAATTAGGTGGCCGTGTGACAGGAATGCACGGGTGATTGGAGTGTCAGAGGCAGGGCCGGGCGAGCAGCCTGCGAAGCATTGTCTCAAGTCTACTCAACATGACAGTAGCTTCTTGGGACATGACTTAGATGTCCATGACATGACTTGGGTGTCCATGTCACAGGAATGCACGGGTGGTTGGAGTGTCAGAGGCAGGGCCGGGCGAGCAGCCGGTGAAGGTGACTGCGAAGCTGGGAGGCAAGAGGGACCCGGGCTACTGGGAGACCGCGCGCATGCTCCTGGAATCCGGCCTGTGCCTGGCGCAGCAGGTGAGCCGTGCTCCTCAGGAAAATGGTTACAGAAGTGGCTGAGGAGACGGCATATAGCTCCGAAAAGCACGAAATTTTACTGTGGCAAATTGATGAAGGCAAAGAAGGCCTGCTAGCATCAGCTGGAGATGCCATTGGAATCGCTTTTTAAGCATTCTGTGCAGGCCTTCGCCAGTCTGTGCACAGGTCAGGATAGGCAGTGCGAAGTGAACTTATGATGTTTTGTTGCATGCTACAATCCCGTGTGCCTGGATTGCCGGACATGAGAGG